GTGCGTGCGTGCGTGCGTGCGTGCGTGCGTGCGTGCGTGCGTGCGTGCGTGCACACAGTTTTTCTGTTTAGCTAAATGGTCTGAGTGCTGTTTGGTTTTGCCTCTCGTTGTGTTTTCAGTGAACAATATGCCTCAGTGGTTATGGACATGAATGTTTCTGTTTTTTCTTGATCTAAAGCGTGGGATGTTTTATTGTATGAATAGTTAAAGGTGAAAAATTATATAGATCATGAAATAAATAAATGTGAATGTCCATTGAAATAAATGAATGTACCATGAAATCAATGTTTTTTCAATCTTTATTTATACAGGTTAGTCTCATTGAGGCTCGAGGACTCATTTACGAGAGAGACCTGACAATGAATGATAACTGTAGACAATCATAAAAGAAAGCACATAAATTGAAAAAAATAATGGAAGAAAATGATACAGAAAAAAATGAAACACAAACAGTTACACTGTACAGCGATGTAAAATACAAAAAAAAAAAAAAAAAAAAATAGGAACATGTCTGCATTGGTTTTTGACATGAACTTAGAAGTTGTTTGAAGCCACTTTAAGAGGTCAAGACATATGTGCCATTATCCAACAATGTTCAGTCAGGTCATCTGGACAGTTTCTTTTTTTGCTGAGACGTTTTGTCCTTCATTCAAAGGACTTCCTCAATCTGAGAAGCCACCAAACAAATACTCCATAGTTGAAAAAAAAACAGTATGCTGGTGCTAAGATGGCAAACAGTATGCTGTTTGTGGGAATCAGTTTTGCTTGGTGGCTTCTCAGATTGAGGAAGTCCTTTGGATGAAAGACGAAACATCTCAGCAAAAAAAAGAAACCATCCAGATGACCTGACTGAACATTGTTGGATTTTATACCTGGATTATTGAGCATGATCTTTGGTATGTACCATTATGTGTCCCATTAAACTATTAAATGCATCACTTATTCATTCAATACATTGTTAAATCATTAAATTTACTAATAAATTATGAAATGCACAATTAAATAAGTAAATGTCCCATTAAATAAATAAATGTAGCTTTTAAATAAGGACTTTAAATATTTAAAATGTCATTTTCATGAAAAAAATTATTTAAGATTTTTTAAAATTAATTATTAAAACTACATTTAATTATTTCACTATGTATTTATTCATTTCATGACTCCCGTGCAGCACTATCATCATGAAATTGTGTTAACTGATAAACTCAGTGGGCGGGCTAACGCTGAGCCTGTGAAATCTATTGCTTTGGTCTTCTGTCTGTTTAAACGTGGCAGCTCTCTCCATGCAGGACCTCAGGGAGCTCTCGTGAACCATTCAGAGACGTTTTAGAACAAGATAGGGGTATATAAGCTGGAATTGCTCACCCAGTGCTTGTGGTAGATAAGTTAAAGCAATTTATTGACGTTAATTGAGTTTTTCTGTCATTTTCAACTGACATCGACCTCAGAGGGATCGCAAGCTTGGAAGAAGTTCTTCAGCGGATCTTATGTTTTCTATAGCACTTAAAAAAGAATAAAGAACAGGTGGTACTTCCAGTTGACGAGAGTGACGATGAAGAATCATATAGTGATGAGGAAGACCAGGAAGATGAGGTCATCATGACAGTCCAGTAGGGAGAGAGTAAAAGTTTGGATGGAGATGAAGATAAAGACGAGGATGAAGATGGAAGTACCACTATGGTAGAAAATCAACAGGAAGCCGACTGGAGCGAGAATGAATGTAGTGATGAAGAAAATGAAGGTAAAGTAGCAGGCTTGATTAGAGAGGAATGATTGCTAAATTCGGCAGCACGGTGGCGCAACTGGTAGAGCTGCTGCCTCTCAGCGAGCAGGTCCTTGGTTCAAACTCTGTCCAGGGGCCTTTCTGGGTGGAGCTTGCATGTTCTCTTTGTGCATGCGTGGGTTTTCTCCGGGTACTCCAGTTTCCTCCCACACACCCAAAACATGCATGTTAGGCTGATTGGTAACTCTAAATTGTCCCTAGGTGTGAGTGAGAGAGTGAATGGTTGTTTGTCTCGTTTGTCTCTATGTGTCCCTGTGATGGACTTGCGACCCGTCCAAGGTGTACCCCGCCCCTTGCACAGTGATTGATGGACATGGGCACCGGCGACCCCTGTGACCCAAAATGGAAGAAGCGGGTAAAGAAAATGGATGGATTGCTAAATTCATCACATCCATCCAGAAGAGTGGTAGCATAGGTTAGAGAAGGCAAGCCTATGATTGGAAGGTTGCCAGTTTGATGCCCTGGACTGCCAACATCAAAATGTTGGAGGGAAAGGTGAAGCACCCACACCTGCCTCCACCCTCATATACCCCACTTTGGGCCCTTAAGCAAGACCCTTAACCCCCACCATCTGCTCCCCCAGGCACCCTTGATGCCATCTGGTATTTTTGGGCTGTGTTTTCCGTGGTTGCATCAGGAAGGGCATCCGGTGTAAAAACAGTTGCCAAGTATTCATATGAGTTAGTTTGTTGTGGCAACTGCTGAGAAAGGGAGCAATCAAAAGAAGAAGAAAAAAACATACACACATCCATTTTAGGTTTTCAAAATACAGCTCTAGAAGTCTTGAGACAAAACAGAGAAAATCATGACGATGGAGATGAGTTTGAGATGTTAACTCTGACTGTTTTATGAGAAAACTTGGTGTATAAATATTTTGAACATGATCGAAATTCAAGCAACAAGAGAGAAAGTATTTTTGACTAATGAAAATAAATTAAGAACCAACACAAATGCTTTAATTATGGTTGGGACTAACACATTAATTACAAATCACAATCCACCCATCCATCCATCCATCCATCCATCCATTATCTTTACCCACTTCTTCCTTTACGGGTCGTGTAGGTTACTGGTGCCCGTGTCCAGCAATCACTGTGCAAGAGACAGGGTACACACTGGACAGGTCTCCAGTCCATCACAGGGACAAATAGAGACAAATGAGACAAACAAACATTCACTCTCTCACTCACACCTAGGGACAATTTCGAGTTATCAATCAGTCTAACATGCATGTTTTTGGTCTGTGGGAGGAAACCAGAGTACCTGGAGAAAACCCACGCATGCACGGAGAGAACATAAAAACTCCACCCAGAAAAGTCCCTGGCTGAGATTTGATCCAGCGACCTTCTTGCTGAGAGGCAACAGCTTTACCAACTGCACCACCCATTTGATAAAGCTGAAACTGTGCGACCTCAGGAACAAGTGGGAGATAATGGATAGATAGATGATGAATGGAGGGATAGAGTAAATGGAACAGTTGCAGTTTATCCTGATGCATGCTCAGTTTGCAGTTTAGTTATCGTCAGTTATATTCACTCTGACTCCTCACCTGCATGTTTCTTTTTGAGAAAAAGTAATTTCTGAGAATCCAATTCAGTTGTCCTGAGACTGGTCCTGGTAAAAGTTTCTTCCCATGAGGGAGTTTTTCTTTCCACTGTTACCTTTGTGCTTGCTTGGGATGTGATACTGTGACAAAATGAAGACTCAAAGCAATATGCTGGCTCCTCAGATAAATAATGTTATTAACTGACTTTTTATGTATATGGATGTTTCTGTACAGCACCCTGAGATGACTTCTGTTGTGACTTGGTGCTATATAAACTGAACTGAATTAAATCTATCTGTGAAACTGACTGAGTATGAGCCAATGTTGTTTCAGCTAATAGTGATTAGCTGTGGTGGACATTTTAAGTTGGTTTCACTAAAAAAGATAATTTTTTGCAGATGTACACCCATTGAATACATTTTGAAAGTTTGATCAAAATTCATCCAGTGGTTCAAGAGATTTTTTTTTACCATTATGACAAACAAAGAACACACACACAGTCAAGTATGTTATCACCCACAATTTTTTGCACCAGGTAATAATAAATCCAGTTCATTTAAAATAGTGCAATTTTTTTGTTTGCCCTGAGCTTTTCTCAGTGCGTTAATTTTTGTAGCATTTTCTTCCTGAAAATTAAAAGGGCTCTGGCATCACTGTACAAAATAAATAAATGAAAATCTATTTTATGGACAGTAAAAATTTCTGCATAATTCAAAACGGAGAACAACTCAGTATTGCTCTCTTTTCCAAGGAGTAACCATCCCTGCAGTGTAGAGAACTACTTTTTCTCTGAAACAGTATTATCAAGTAAATCAACTGTATGATGATGATGATGATGATGGTATAAATGGTGACATAAGATCAGAAATTGTTGTACCTCTTGAATCTGTAGTTTCCCATCGGCTGTAACATCATAGGCAGACATAAACCTCTGCTTAAGTCTCTGTACCCTCTCCTCTGTGGCCTTCTCCTAAACAACAACAACAAATAAGCAGACAATAAATAAATCAGTGATCTTCTGCTTGCAGTCATTTGCAATCTACATATTCAACTGAACACAAAGTGATGAAGCTGTCTTTTCGTCTTTCATCTGCTCCCTTCTTTAAGGTTTGCCACAGCTAGCAAACTTGCACAAAATAAATTAAAACAAAAAGTGATGAAATGATTGGACAAAATGACATTTGATCATTAAATTGTAATTCCAGGTTTTTAAAGTTTAAATGGGTTCTCTTACATCATGCAGTAACTGGTTCCTGTTGGTTCCTGGTTTTCGTTTTCTACATTCGCCTTATAATCTAGCTGTTTTTTGTGAATTTTTTTTAGCCATCTTATTTGTAAAAACTAAAATAAAAATTGTATGCCTTTTTATATTTGTCTATTGTTGTTGCTGTTGTCTACTGTTGTCATCATTGTTTGTTGAAATCAGGTCTCTCTTGTAAATGAGTCCTCGGGGCTCAGTGGGATTAACCTGTCTAAATAAAGGTTGAATGAAAACTGAAAACTTTACATTTTGTGATGAACAAAAGATGTTACCAGTTGAGTCACATTTATTTTTCCATCGTCTCCATGGATACTCTCTGAACTTGAAGATGGTTCTGTTTTGTATTATTTCTCAAGGCCTGTATTTTATAACCAGATAATGATCAGGACCTTCAGCTCTTTGCCATTCAGTTCTCATAAATTCATTTTAGATCATACTTTTAGCTATTATGAATCTTTTTGTCTTATCTTTAATCTTTGGCTTTTAGCGTTCTTGAGACTCACAAACTGTAAAACATTGCATGTGTGTTGTTGTTACAGTGGATACAAAAAACAGCTCAAATCCAGTTTTTCTGTTAATTAATCAGTTACCTCTTGTGACTAAATCTAAGGTTCACAGAGAGCACACAAAACATCAGAAGATTTTTATTTTTTTAAGGAATCTGTCAGGAATTTTTTTAAATTATTTCCTCAGAATTAGATAACTATCTTTATATATAACATTGTCATCTCATATGTTGCTGGATTATCTGAAAAACTCAGACTGATTTTCTATAAATGCAACATAGAGGCACATTTCATAACAACAGGACTTTCAGACAGAGTCTGGTCAGGACAAAACCTCCAAACAGCCATAAGGTGTATGCGGTTCAGAGCAGTGAGGACTGTTCAAATATTGGACAACCCCCCACAGACACAAGGCTCAACATAGGAGAGCCAGCTCTTCAGGACAAGACTCAGCTGTGCACCTGCACCTCAAGCATAAGGAGCACTCTTTTGAGGACCAAAATGTTCATATCTGGGACAGAGAAGAGATAAGTTTGGTATGGGGATGTAAGCCATTTATGTCCAAAAAAAGAAAACAGTAGTCAGAGGAGGGGGCCTCAGATTTCAACTTTCATAAACCTACACAGCAGCATTAAGCCTGATTCACAGATGGTACAAAGTTTTGCTGTTTGTTTTGTTGTGCATTTTGGCCACAAGTCTCCACTTTGTTCTTGTCTGTCTGAAGGATAGTGTTTCAGACATAGTTTTATATTAAAAATATAACATTACATGTACACAATATTTTAGTGTTTTTTAAATTAAGACAATGTTTTTGTCTTATTTTTATCTTGCTGCTGTGTTCATATTACATACAAGATTTCAAACTGGAAACTTTTCCAAACAAACTAAGCTTGCTCAGTCTTCTAATTTAACTGTCATGATTTTTTATTTTTTATTTTTGGGTCAATTTCCACTCAGCAGAATGGTCATGTTAACGTGGTAGAAGAGTTTGAGTACCCTGTGATCCTGGTGCTATGTTATCTGGGGCATCAGCCTCTGGTAGGGTCTCCCATGGCAAACAGGCCTCGGGGGAGGGCTCAGACTAACAGTGATTCAAACCCCTTGATGAATGAAAAATCACATCAGGAAACCTTGCCCGGATAAAAGAAACAGGGCACGCCCCTGGAGCCAGACCTGGAGCGGGAACTTGCCGGCCACACTAATCCTGGCAGACCTCCATCACCTGCTGCACCAGGTGTTCAAACTGCTTCCCTCTGGACGCAGATATCTGCTGCCCAGATGCAAGACCAACACACTCAAAGACTCTTATTTCTGCCAAAAATCAGTTTTCAAATTATTTGTTGTGATTTTTAACGAATGTTTTACATTTGTATTTTGTTTTTATGTATTTTATATTGCTGACTGCAGCACAAATTGCCCTAAGGGAATTGTAAAGGTACTTGAACTTGGGACTTGGTCAGACCAAGCCACAGGATGCCACCTCCATGCGACCACCTGTGAAGAGGACCATCAAGGTTGTGTGCTTTATATATTGGGCGGCAGGTGAGGGAGGGTCCCTGCCATGCCAAGTCTTAGCAGCATGGACTAGCTTTAGGGATGTGGAACGTCACCTGATTGGTGGGTAAGGCGAAGAAAAACTTCAAAAGTAACAACTTTACAGAAAAAATATAAGTTCCAAAATTTGACTAAATCCAAGTTTATTGCATGAAGCTTAAACTAACAAATAATATACCAATATTGTTAAATTAGTCGAGAAACAGGAAGTTATGGCAATTTTAGAGAAATAAAAATAAGCTAATTTCTTATATTGACCCCATCATTCATTTATTTGTTATAGAATTGCGCCGCTCAGGGTGGCTGCATGGTGGAGTAGCTTTGTTACTTTCATTCTGAGATATTGCTTTTGGAAACTTTAAATCCTCTTCCTCTGACTTTTATTCACTGGAATCTTTGCCAAATACATTAACTCACTTGCCCAGAAATTAGTGTAACATATCTATTAAAATCAAGCATATTATTATTATTATGTTATTTACCAGATAGTTGTTCGTATACGTCAAATCAAACTAAACCTGTGCTCTTTCGGTTCATGAAAATATAAGTGAAGGGCAACTTAGTGTGCAGTAAATAAAAAAAAATAGTTGTCCAAAGGATTTAGCTGCAAAATGACTAGAAGTGAAAGGATGAACAGAAAACAACAATATGTCATTGTTTTTGTAACTTGAGAGGAAAGCATCAACCACCATCCCTCTTGAGGGCATTAATAGTGAAGCAAACATCCGAAAGACAAAGTGGCATGCGGTTGGTGGTCTGTTTGTTTTAGCACAACCCAATTAGTTTCCAAGAGAGTTGACTCATGGCACTCTAAAGAACATGCAGTAGATACACACTTTGTAGCGTTTCCATTATAAGTGAGGCAAAAGGGCTCAGTCATTCCTCAAAATAATTACATTTGACTTTGACATGATATGATGTGCCATTAGTGCTATCTTTTTGCCATGTCAGTTTGAAACAATATCAAAAGTTTTTCTTCAGTCTTTTCCAGAGCTTTTTTAATTGTGGTGTATGATGTTGCAGCAGTCGCACCAATCCAGAGAAGTGAAAACTGCTTCAGATGCACACAAATTTAACATTCCCAAATCTAATTCAAGTTTAAGTTTTCTTAGACTGACCAATAATTATTTCAAAACTGACTGCTATCTGTACTTGAAGACCAAGCAATACATAATTCAGAATAAAATAAAAGCAATTCTAGCCTTTTAAAATAATAATACCACAAAGATTCATATATCAAACTTTAAACTGATGGAGTTCTTTCTTTGCTTCAGATGTAATTAATTACACAATCTGTTGTTTCTTGTTTGTTGAAGTTCACTGTATTTAAGTGCCTTCATCACCAGTCTTGAATGGACTTATCCTGGTAAACGGCTCTCACCTGTGGACCCAGTTTCTTCATCATATGACGGAAAAAGTCATCCAGCTCTTTGCCTTCGATGTAGCCGTTATCTGTCAAAATAAAACATGAGTCGCAAGCTTATTAAAACAATGAAGCAACTTTTTAAAGAGAAGATAAAAGCTGTGTTTTTGTTATTATAGCTTGATTGATTGATGGTTTATTATAGTATGACTATCTGTGCAATCTGTAGCTTCTTTTAGACGTGCTGGTGTTTAGGTCTCACAGAGAATTTTAGTCAACTTGTCAGGTTTTTTGTTTTAATAAGTAAACATGCCTAGTAAACCAGCAATTCTTATCTTTAAAAATTAAGTGTACTCTTTCATTTCAATTACAGACAGATACAGAAATGATCAAATCCAAATGTGAATCTATATTCTAGATATATTAAATAGATAGGGAAAGGAAATAGTCATAAAATGTCCTCACCATCTGCATCAAAGTATTGCCAGATTTCCAGGAAACCAGCAGCATCCAGGTTATCAAAATTACTGTCCATCCTAAAGAGAAGTAACTTTTACACCTGAAAAAAAAAACCCAGACGAGATGAACCTTGCTGAAGTGGTCAACAAGTTGTTTGGTTGACATCTGATCTTTGGTGCCGAATAAAGACCACACCTCATGTGTGCAAAAAAGTACAGAAAAAAAACAAAACAAAAAAAAAGGTGTAATATGATGTTGTATCATCGCCATCTAGTGGACATGTTGTAACAGTGTATAGCAGATTTTCTTTCTGAACTATTCATCCATTCCTGGATCTAGTAATGATTTTTACTTGTTTCTTCCTTTCTGGGTCACCAGGTCACTGGTACCCATGTCCAGCCATCACTGTGCAAGAGGTGGGGGACACCCTGGATAGATCACAAGTCCATCACAGGGACACATAGAGACAAACGAGACAAACATTCACTCTCTCACTCACACCTAGGGACAATTCAGAGTTACCAATCAGTCTAACATGCATGTTTTTGGTCTGTGGGAGGAAACCGGAGTACCTGGAAAAAATCCACGCATACACAGAGAGAACATGCAAACTTCACCCAGTATGGCCCCTCCGGATTCGTTCCTGCAACCATCTCATTGAGAGGTGGCAGCTCTACCAACTGCACCACTGTGCTGACCGATTATACATTTAGTCTTTCTACATTATGAATTAGGTTAAAGCATATACTTTTGTATTAGTTGAATGAATCATGCAAGTTAAATATTACTTTTATTTCTTTGATCCTTAAATTACATACATACAATTTATAGTGGTTAATTCTGAGGAAAAAGTGTACTTTGGTGGCTAAAAATAATTGCTTGTAATTATATTTTTGATGTAATTAGACAGTTTAACTATATATAGTTAAACTGTTATTGTATATGCATTGTTATATATATTTAAAATTAAACCTGTTAATTTGCATTTGTTTGTTTTCCAATGTTTTCAACCTGATGCTTCTGCTACCGCTGCATTTAACGTGTTTGAAAATAATTAATAAAGATGGAGTGGGTTGAGCCTACGTCTACTTTCTTCATTGATCTTTCAGTTTAGATCAACATTGGTTTAAGAAGAGACTTGACACTGTCCCCCTGGACATGTCCAAACCATCTGTCTGGCCTCTCTAACTTTATCTCCCAGTTGTTCAACCTGTGCTGGACCTCTGATGACCTCATTCTTAATCTCATCCATCTTTGTCACTCCTAAGGAGAACCTGAACATCTTCATTTCAAACACTTCCAGTTCTTTCTCCTGTCTTTTTGTCAATGCCTCTGTCTCCAGATCATACAACATAGCTGGTTTCACCACTGTCTTGTAATATTTCCTTTGATCTTTACTGACACTCTTGTCTCCAATCGCTCCTGAAACTTTTCTACATCCTGCCTGGAATCTCATTGTCATTATGTTCAGTAAAGTTTTCTTTCATTATTTCCCAGCACATGGCTGTATACTCACCAAATTTCACACAATGCACATTTTTCTCATCTTGATTAAGACCTGTGTCTGTCAGATGCAAGCATGACACAGTGGCTTCATAACATCCCCTGAAACATTAAGACTTATGGTTATACAACAAAAATAGATTTTTTTTTTAACTATTAAACGGGAGGTTCCAGAGGCCTAGATGTTTGTTGTGCTTATTTTTGAGGTTATTAGAGACAAAATGCTCTGACTTTTGATTATTTTAGAAGTACATTGCTGAACGTGTCGCTCTCCATGATATTTTGATTCCATTTTATGACAGAAATTTCAAATCTGACAAAAACTGTCATATCACCAAGCCATGTCCAGAGACGACACACAGTGATTTTCAGTTCAATTGACTCAAAGGTCCAGTAGCAACGGGGGAAAAAATACATTTTTTTCTCTGCCAAGAATGGCCGTATTATTTACATATTAAAATACTCTTACCAAAACCTTATTTTTCACACACCATCAAGTACATACAACAATAGCAAGTACAACTTCATCTACATGCCCACTGTTACTACACAGGACTTTATTAAAGTTTTTTTTTTCAGCGTTCATATGAATTGTGGTTTTACCAAGCACATTTCTTTATATTTATTTGATTGTATGAAGGAAATGTCCTGGATTTTCCTGGACAGTGGACCCAAGTACTTGAAGTCCTGCACCTTTGTGACCTCTGCTCCTTGTAGCCTCACTGTTCCACCGGCCTCCCTCTCATTCACACACGTACTCTGTCTTACTACGGCTGACTTTCATTCCTCTTCTTTCAAGTGCATACCTCCACCTCTCCAAGTTCTCTTCCACCTGTTTCCTGTTCTCACCACAGATCACAATGTCATCTGCAAACACCATAGTCTACTGGGATTCCTGTCTGACCTCATCTGTTAGTCTGTTCATCACCAGAGAAAACAAGAAAGGGCTCAGAGTTAATCCTTGATGGACTCCCACCTCCACCTTGAAGCTATCTGTCACTCCTGCAGCACATCTCACCACTGTCCTGTTGTCCTCATACATTTCCTGTTCAACTCTAACATAATGCCCTGCTGTCCTCCTGACATATGCTTTTTCTAAATCCACAAAGACACAATGAAGTTCTCTCTGAACTTCTATCAACTTCTCCATCAGCTTTCTCAAGCATACATGGCATCGGTGGTGCTCTTGGCATGAAACTATGCTGCTGTTCGCAGTCACTTCTTGTCTAAGTGTTGTTTCCACAACTATCTCCCAGATTTTTATTGTGACCCATCAACTGAATTTCCCTGTAGTTGCTCCAAGTCTGTACATCACCCTTGTTCTTAAAAATGGGCACCATCACACTTTTCCATTCCTTGGGCATTTTCACACTTTCAAAAATGATATTGAAAAATTTGGTCAAAAATCTCATTGGCATCTAACCAAGACATTTCCATACCTCCACTGGTATGTCAACATGTCCAACTGCATTCCCCTCCTCTTCAAAGCTTTCCAAGCTTCATCCCTACTAATTTTTCCCACTTCCTGGTCCACAGCTTATATGACCTCTCCCCTTCTTTACTTTTCATTTTTCTCATTCATTAGCTCCTCTAAGTACTCCTTCTGTCTTCCTTCCTCCTTCCTTTCACACTCCATATGAGACCATGTCCCAGTGCTCACATCTTGCTTGTTAGAACATTACCGTTTCTATATTTGACAAACCTAACTTGCTGCACATCCTTTCCAGCCTGATCCCTCTGTTTCACCAGGCAGTACAAGTCCTTCTCTCCCTCCTTAGTGTTCAGTCTCTTGTACAACTCATCATATGCCTTCCGTTTTGCTTTTGCTATTTCCCTCTTTGCCCTATGTTGCCTCTCCTGATATTCCTGTGTACTCTGAGTCCTTTCCTCATCCCATTTTTTCTTTGCTAACCTCTTCCTCTGTATAACTTCCTGCATGTTGCTACTGTATTTAGAATGAGTACACAGTTTATAAACAGTTGCACTGTGCATTATAAAGCATCATACAAGACATTAATTACAAGACATTGCTGTCCAATATTAGAAAATATGTGTAGTATTATTGTTAAATATTTCAACGACAATTCAATGACAATAAACTCTGAACAAATATCTGTGTACTGCTCAGTTTTATGTGTACTGAGCATAGGCTGCATTCTATAAGAGAGACAGTTCTGTATGTGTGAATGCTGAATCAGCATTATGATGCTGAATTAGGTGATCCTCTTCATCGGCTGCTCTTTGGAAATTCACAAATGAAAAACAAGGTTGTTTCACACTCCACATGAGCCCATGTCCCAGTGTTGAGCAGCCCCACACAGCTGGAGTTTGTGGTGGGAGCTAATCTGGACTGGAGTTGCTCCTCTTGGTTCCAAGCAGAAAACACGTCCAGAGGGTTGGAATTGGCATCAATATACCTGCTTGTCCCATTCTGAAGATGATAAATCAAAACAGAAATTATCTTCAAAGGGATAGTTTGGATATTTTGACATTGGGTTCTTTGAAAACAATATGAACATATTAGATTAAATATTATTTCTTCATCAGTCTTCCATGGATCTCCATTTCAAACCATAACTCCAGTAAAAAAAAAAAAAAAAATTTTAGGTAACTGTTGATTTTGTGAATGTTATGAATTGTTTTCTCATATTTTTTAAAATGCAGTTTTGACAATCTAACTACTTCTGTATACTTTGTGCTATTTAAAGCCTTTCATAAATCAAACTATTTAGTTCGTTCAGGAGGTGGTGCTGTGACTTTCAGAGCATGTAACTTTAAAACTTGAAAAATATCCTATTATTGATTTTTTTTCTTAATAGAAATACATAGATATCCTCAATTTCTTTAAAAGCATTGTTTGAAATCTGCTTCAGCGTTATTGCTCTATTCTTTTGTCTTCTTTTGCTTCTTTAAAGTGTTAGCTACCATACTGCTATTTTTATCTTTCCTTTCTATGGTTTAATCTGGCTTATTTCTGCTTTAGATTTTAGCTGGTCTTACTATGTTTAATCCAAAAAAAGAAAAACAAAAAGAACTGGACTTCTATTCTGAAGATGAAGAAGATTTGTTTCCCATCCTGTGGCTTTATCATTTCAAAAATGTCTGGAGTGTGTGGAGTTCCAAGCTTCATAGAATATATGAAATAGGCTATATAAAATATATGTCCAGCCTGATGAGCGTCAACAACTCCTTTTCAGAGATCCTCAGGAATCTCATTTGTTGCTGTCATGATACACTTCTACAAACATGTTGTGAAGAACAGACTTGTTGTTCTTCTTCGTGAGGTTTAATTGGCGATTGGCAAAAAAACGTTGAGGTTGCATTACTGCCACTTACCGGTATGGAGTGTGGCTCAAAATGTCTTTTATTCTATACAAATGTTATATTCTGTTAATCACATTTTGTTTTCCAGAAAAATCTAATTAAAATCTGAGTACTTTTACTATCTGAATTCCCCATGTAGTATATTTATTAAACTTTTCTTTATTTTTCCTAAATTCTTCCAACATTAATCTCCTTTCTATCACATATCTTCTACATACTACAAATTACAATATGTTCTATTGTCTCATTTTTTCCACAAAATTGACAGTTTACTGTATTATGTTGCTGTATTCTGTATAGCAAACTGTTAAGTCCATTATGTCCAAATCTTAACCTTGTTAATAGTTTCTCCTCTCAGGAGCAGACTTTGATAGAGCCCTGTTCTTTAAATCAAACAGGGTGTCCACTCACACCTGATCATCATCCCATTAATTGAAAACACTTGACTCTAATTTCACCTTCAAATTAACTGCTAATCCTAGAGGTTCACATACTTTTACCACTCAAAATACAGTATGCAGTATCAGCTCATTTTCCACAATAAATAAATGACCAAGTATGATATTTTTGTCTTGTTTGTTTAACTGGGTTCTCTTTATCTACTTTTAGGACGTGTGAAAATCTGATGTTTTAGGTCATATTTATGAAGAAATATAGAAAATTCAAAAGGGTTCACAAACTTTCAGTCACCACTGTGCATGTGTGGCAAACATGTTTTTACACCCTACTGCTTATTTAGGAAAGTCTCTGATTCACATTCAATGAAATGTTTAATTTTGCTGCATCTAGACATACCTGTAAATTTTTAGCATGCAGACAAGAATCCCACATGCAAAACATAATTGCAATTATTTTACATATTTAGAGGTGTGTGTACTCAATTCCACTTTGATTTGGGATGTACAGTGGAAGTGTGCCTGGATTCCTACTTATGCTTTTGGATTTATTTGTGTATACGCTGTTTTCTTGATTTAAGCATGTCATGTTTCAGTAGGAAATCCACACAAGTCTTTGGACATGAGGCCCCTGGATGACTGAGAATCCTCACCAGATTACCATGTTTAGCACTTTTGCTACTTTTGTCTTTGGACTACAGTAATGTGTTGCTTTGTTTTAGTTTTTAGGCAGTGTGCTGCTTCTTTTAGCTTAAACAACTTAGTTTCAGCTCCTTTAACAGTCATTTAGCACTCAGCATTCACTCTGAGTTTCACAGAAAAATGCTAGTTCTCTTTTACTGTTTGTTTCAACAATTTAACTCATCAGTCACAAAGAGCAAAAACGCACCATGTAGGCAGCAGCAGCATTGTCACTGTTTCCACCTTAAGACTATAACCACTTACCAGGTCTTGTCTCTGTGCGTTCACTTCCACATAAACTCTTGCCAGGCCTGCCTGATTGATGTAGTCTGTCATGAGGCGGTTAATAGTGCTGGTTTTTGGCATGGCCAGGGTGCCTCCTCTTAGCTTGCAGTCCAGTGAAGCTTCTCTGGACTTTTTGGGCTCCTTCACAAGGAGGTAGTATTTTTCCTCTGTCTCTTTCAAGCTTAAGACAACTGCACAAGAACAATTTTAACATAAATGACAATGAAGGCATGATTTGTTTTGACAAATATATTGTACCGCAATTGTTGCTGCTTTCTTTTAGCGATCTGAGCAACACCTTTCAGGTTTGTGGTGTCCAATTGAGGAGACACATTTTAAAAAGTAAATGGAATTGCACAGTCGAGATTTATTTAGCACATTTTTGTGTAACATAACACTGTGTTTTCTATTAAAGACACATGGATAAACTAAAAACAAAACAAACGAACAAAAAAACATGATAAAAAATGCTAAAGGTTAAGCTAATGCTAAATCAAAATGCAATTAAACCTAATCTCGTTCTTATTTTGTTAAAAAACCATTTAAGCTGTTTTAAATATGTTTTAACAATGGTGGCCTCTCTCAGATCCAAAGGCAGAAAATGTCATTTCACTGGAGCACAAATTAAAAAAAGCAGTTCCTCCTGAAGACTAGACTTAAAACTCTCCTTTTTGCTAAATCCTATAGTTAGGGTCAACTTGGGTTTCCTGAGCTGTCCCTTAGTTATGCTGCTATAGGCTTAGACTGCTGGAGGACAAACTGACCACACTTTTTCACTCTGCTACTGTCTTTACTTACTCTGCTCAACCTGTTTTGTATTTGTAATTATTTTTTCTATCCATAACATGGGGGTGGTGTTTGTCTTTCAGATACACCTGGACCTATACCTGGACCTACCATTCTGTGTTAATTTGTTTCTCCTTCCTGTCCTCTCAACCAGCCGGTTAAAGCAGATGGCCGCTTGTCCTGAGCCTGGTTCTGCTGGAGGTTTCTTCCTTTTAAAAGGGAGTTTTTCTTTCCACTGTTGCCACTGTGCTTGCTCAAGATGGGAGACTGCAACAAAGCCAAGATTCAACTTGTCTGCTGGCCTCCTTAGATAGAGAACTTTATTTCCTGTAAAGTGCCCTGAGACAACTTTGTTGTGATTTGGCACTATATAAATAAACTGAATTGAATTGAATTGAATACCAAGTACCCACAGCGTATGGACCTGAGTGGCTGGACTAACACATCTCAGGTTAACACATCTCACATTCTGAGATGTAAGGTATTTCTTGCTCTATATAAAACTGAAAGGACATTTGAATTGATTCAGATATTTTCAGAAAAGTTTGAAACATCCTGTGAGAATGAATGTACTGTAGCTGTATTTAAATTGACAGTAGCCTGGGGTACAACAGGTTTTGAGAAGGCTTTAGTAAGCCTATAAGTACATGTTAAGATTTGCATGACATGTTGAGGCAAATCCTAAGAAAACAAGAATACGTAATATGAGGCTCAAAGAAACTAAAGTAGCTGCTTACAGTATGAAATTCAAAGTTAAAAACAAGCACTAATACTGACAAAAATAAATGATCGAGAATAAAATATTTCCACCCTCATTTGCATAGAGCAAATTCATGTATATGAGCAGATTTTTTGGTATGCTTTTTTTAAGAACATAAAACTCACTATTTATGTTATGTCTTCCTATTAGCGCCAACCACAGTAAAACCTCAAATGTTCTGTTTTCTGGCAACTCACCATTCTTCAAAAACTGCGCAGCTTTCCGGAGCTCCCCTACACTGACATCCAGCTGCCCAACCACCTTTCTGTACCTGCCACAGTCACATGTTGTACCTGATGAGGGAAACAAGGGTTAACACAGATCATTTTGTACCTTACAACCAATATGTTACATGTAACATACCACAAATAAATTGCCACATTTGTTAAAATGAAGTGTAAAATAACAGGAAGTAAAAAAAGAAAATACAGCTTATATTAAATTCTGATCCTATAAATTACTATAACGGAGAAATTACAAGAGCATTTTAAAAAATGTTAATGTTACTTTTATTTTTATACAGTCACTATTGGTAATATTCAATTCTATTAAAAGTTCAACGTTTCATTAAATAAAATCTTAACTATGTCACTGATCTGAGAAGAGCAAGAAAAGTCCTTTATGACATTAACATGACTTAATCTACAATAAAATCTAAAATTGTTATTACCAGTTTTTCCTTTCACGCCAGCTGGTCCAGTAAAACCCTTCTGGCCTTTGTCACCTACAGATGATAACAACACAACCCTTTTTTAAATTATATTTAGCAAAGTATTTAAATTATTTTTGACAATTATCCTATAGTCCTGCCATTTGACCAGCAGATGGGAATGTTACACTTGGTTGTAGAATCGTCCAGTTTTGCTGTTGGAAACAAACAAAAAAAAAAAATCCAAAATTGCTGAAGCAATTCCAAACAGACTGAAACAAATCCATCAATATTTTAATTTAGTAAGGTAAGTAATTGTTTTTCTTTTTGAATACCTGCCACAGAATGTAACACTGAATTTATTTTCTACATTTCAGCTTCAGAGTGGCGCAGACTGGCAGTGGCAGGTTTTTGAAGAAAAGATCAACAGTACAAACGTCACTCTGACCTAGTTTTAGACAACGGACAGCCATGGCAACCTGTATGACTAAACTTTGTTGTGATATGGTTATCAATGTAGGAAAAAATGTTTATTTAGTCAAACAAATAGGAATTTAAATCAAACAACACATTTGAGATAAAAAATTTTTTAAATTAAAACTGCAGTTCTTTTTTGTTCTGAGAGTAACATACAGTTTGCAAAACTTTTTGTTTTCTATCCAAATCACAGTTTGAACAGCTTGAACTTCCTGGGCGAGATCCCTGATGGAGGATGTGAGATGTATGTCTATTGGTCAGAGTCCCACCACCCCTCAGCCAATCACTGTCTGTTCTGACCCTCTGTAGGATTACAGAGCTTTCTGTAACCAACTCTTTGCAGCTCCTGAGTGGCAGGGTAGAGCCAAATCTGATCTGATTTGTTCTGTCTCAAACTTAAACACAGACAAAACCAAAGGGATGCTGTTTTCAAACAGGAAGTCGGTCCCAGCAGTTTTCCCTTGATTTTTATCTTCGAATGGTGCTTCTATTGAGTTTATCAATTCCTACAAATACTTGGGTATTTTGGTCAATTCACATCTCTCTTATAAGCCTCATGTCAAAAACTTGGTAAAGAAACTGAAAGTAAAACTTTTTTTTTTTTTTTCAGAAATAGATCCAGTCTAACTCTAAAGGCTATGAAACGCCTTGTAGCTGCTACTTTCCTTCCCTCCACTGACTACGGTGACATTATTTACATGAAAACCCCTACAAGCACCTTGCAGATGTTGGACACTGTCTATCATTGTGCGCTAAGATTCATAACTGGCTGTGACTACAGTACCCATCATTGCACCCTGTATTCACTGGTTAACTGGTCATCATTAACTTCACACAAACTTTCTCACTGCTACATTATCATCTTTAAAACACTTATTGGTCTGTTGCCTTGATACATCTCCTCCTACATGTCACTACATGAGTGCAGCTACAGCATGCGCTCTTAGGACATTATTACCTGCAGTGTTCCCACAGTGCAGACTGAACTAGGCAAAAGGGCCTTTTCCTACTCTGCTTTGGAACACTTTGCAAAAAGATCTGAAGCTGTCGACCTTGACCTCTCTAAGTGGCTTCAAACAATTGCTAAGTTCATGGCAAAAACCAATGCAGACATGTTCCTGTTTTATTTGTTTTTTGTGGCATGGGTGGGGGGTTACATCATTTTCTTCCATTTATTGTTTTTTTTTTTCAGTTTATATGCTTTCTTCTAAGAATGCCTACTGTTGTCATTGTTATCTACTGTTATCATTATTTGTTAAAAGCAGGTCTCTCTTTGAGTCCTTGAGGCTCAATGAGACTAACCTGTATAAATAAAGGTTGAATTGAAATTCACACCAGCTGTCTCTGATACAGGCTGATGAGCTCCTGGAGTAGTTAAGAACATTTGGGTCAGATCTTCCCTCCTGAAACATTACGCTAGCAACCGGCAACTAGCAACAGCTCTGAAAGTCCTATTTAGGATAGCATGACTAATCTGAAAATTTCCTTGTGCTTTCTAGTCCTGTCTCATTGGTTCCTCTACATAGAAATTCTGACTTCTTGTGTCTGCAAAGCCAAACCTCTTAGTGGAACCTTGTCCTGGACACCATCAACTCTTCCCGCTGTCAGCTTACAACACTATTGGATCAGATTCTGGATCCCTGACCTGCCACACTCCAAATTTTCATACTCACCCATCTCTATGGACATACCCATTCATTTGGTATCCTTCATCCTCCTCTCAATACTTATGAAACAGAAAGAGTAAGCTATTCATTCTGGAACTACATCTCTTGCATTAACCTAATTCAGTCCCTCACCTGTGCTATGGTCCCTTGCAGTTATTACCCCAGGGCACTGAAAAATAAACTTTCACTTACCTTTTTTTTTTAATAGTTCAGTCTCTGTCAGTCTACAACACTCTGGGTACAAAAGCTTATCAATCATGATAGAATGTTCCAGCCAAAATGACTTCCAGATTATGACTGACTGAGTAAATTCATCATTCATTTACTTCACAAAGCAAATGTGTTGACAAGCATGACAACACTCTTCAGCAGGTCACCCTTGGTACCACATCACGATAGACTTTATAATTGGATTGCCAGTATCTGAAGTCAACACTCTCATACTTACCATCAGAGAGAAATTCTCCAAGACAGCACATTTAGTGCCTTTGTCTAAACTCCCATCAGCACTTGAAACTTCACAGCTCCTTATATCCCATGTGTTTCAACATCATGGCATCCCCTGTGACGTTGCCTCTGATAGAGGCCCCCAGTTCATATTCCAGGTATGGAGCTCTTTTTTTCAGGCCTTGAGAGCTCCATCTAGCCATACTTCTTGATACCATTCCCAGTCAAATGACCAAACGGAGAGATGCAATCAAGCTCTGGAATCAGCATTAAGATGCAAGATCAAGGAAAATCTTGCCTTTGGGTGTCAACATCTTCCATGAGATGACTATGCTCATTATTCCCTCACTTCCTCTGTTACCAGTTTGTCCTAATTTAAGGCATACTTGGGAAACTTTCCTCCCCTGTTCCCCAGCTAGGAGTCAGACATGTTGGTTCCCTCTGTTCAACATTGTTTCTGTAAATGCCGCTGAGTTTGGCAACAAATCAAGGAGGCTCCCCTTTGTACTGCTGAGCTGAACAAGAGATTTGCTGATCAGAGCAGCAGTCCCAATATTCCTAGTTAGACAGAAGGTATGACCTTCCACGAAGGACATCAACATCAAGAACACACCCAGGAAACTTGTCCCTAGATTCATTAGTTCTTTTCAAATTGTTAAGATCATCTATCCATCCATAAGACTAAAGTTACCTCCTTCCATGAGGATCAACCCTACCTTTCATATCTCCTAAGTCAAACCTGTTTCTGAAAGCTCTTTGAGTCCTTCTTCCGACCTACCGACACCCCCAGCTTATTGACAACCATACAGCCTTTTCAGTTTGACACATCTTGGATGAATGCCACAGAGGTCATGGATTCATGTATTTCGTAAACTGGGAGGTTTTTGGGCCTAAAGAAAGATATCGGAACCCCAGACATTAAATTTTTGACTCAAGCCTCATCTCTTTTTTTATGGGGCATATCCTGAAAGACGAGTGAGATTGCCAGAGGTGAATCTTGAGAAGGGGATACTGTAGGATTCCAGTGTTTTCCACTTAAGGATTCCAACTCTTTGCAGCTCCTATGTGACAGGGCAAAGCCAAATTAATACCAGCTGTCTCTGTTCCTAGCTGACAAACTCTTGGAGCATTTAAGGACATTTGGTTCAGATCTTCCCAGCTGGAACATTGTGCTACCAACCAGTAACTACAGGTCTCTCTTGAAAATGAGTCCTCGTGACTCAGTGAGACTAACCTGTATAAATAAAGGTTGAATTAAATCTAGTGATAGCCCTGAAAGTCCTATCTAAAATAAAGTGACTAACCTGAATATTTCTTTGTGCTTTCTAGTCCTAACTCATTTGCTCCTTTCCATGGAAATTCTGACTCCTTGTGTCTGCAAAGCAGAACCTCTTTGTGGAACCTTGTCCTGGACACCATCAACTCTTCCGGCTGTCAGCCTATAACAACACTATTGGAGCAGATTCAGGAACCCTGTCTTGCCACTCTCCACCTTTTCATACTCATCCATCTCTGGTGACAAATCCATTCATCTGGTGTCCTTCACTCTCCTCTCCATACCTGTAAAACAGAAATAAAAATTAAGCAATTCTTCCTCGATCTACATCTCTTGTATTAACCTAAGTCAGTCCCTCACCTGTGTTATGTTCCCTTGCAGTCATTACAGCTCAGCACTGTAAATAAAGTTGCACTTACCTGTTTATTGAATGGCTTAGTCTCTCTTTGTCAGAAATGTAAACAAATAACTCATAATTGTTGGCAATGAAACATGATTTTACTGATTTCACTCTATTATTACAGATTATGCAGTAGACTTTTGGTGGTGAATTATGCACAGTCTTTTTCCTTTTCCAGATTATACAAAAAATTCAAACCAATAACACTGAAAATTTTCACATTTTGACAAGTATTAAGCTTTAAAACTTAAAAGCTATGATAGAAAATTAGGATGTAGAAGGGAATTTTATAATCAAAAACGTTTCTGAACCAATTTTTCCTCATTCAGCTGTCTGTTTTGTGTCTAGGTCAGTGTACCTGTTTGTTGAAGATATACCAAAAAAGGGAATTGCAGTGTACAGAAAGCCCTATGTTTTTTAAGGTTTTGTATAAACCTTTTATTTAAATCTGTTTTAAAGCACCAAAACAAGGACGGATCTGTAAAAGTACTTTTTCAGAAATTTCATCTTTCTCCTTAAAACTGCTCACAGACAAAGACATACTTTAGTAATAGATCACCATAAATGCTATGTTTTAAAAAGTAATCATATATAAATAAATGTGTGGAGTGTTTGTAACATATGGTTGGGCAAAAAGGAAAGAGAGGGTGGTAAGCTCAAAATAAACATGAATATTAAATTGTATAATGAAATAAAATTTATATCCTTCCACCTTTGTCTCCAACAGGCCCCATCTTCCCCATGTGACCCACTTCTCCTTTATGTCCGCGTTCTCCTGGCACACCTGAGGGAGATGAGAATGTAGAGAATTCAAACTAAAATATACATGTAAAGAAACAGTGAAAGCAGGCAATAATGTTTTTACACAAGTATGTGCAAGCATGCATGTGTGTGTGCCAGAAAAAAACAGAGCAGCCATTGACTGAATCAATGTTTCCTCAGGAAACTGTTCAGCTACAAACTGATGTAGTATTAAACACAAACAGACTGAAGAAGACTGTTGCTGTTAGAAGGATATGCAGCTATCCTTGTGAAGTTAGTTGCACAGGCTATCCTGTGTCTGGAGGAATACATATTACCAGCAGACTTCCATGTCAGAGTTTTAAACTAAAGTCAACTTATGTTGAAACATGACGGCGTTGAGCTGCTTTGCTCAAACCTTGAATCATGTGCAATGTCCTGCGTTATCTCAAGGTGTTGCAAAACTGTGTTAGTGTTCTACTTAGTGTAAAGTATATGTTGTGAGTAACTCTCAACTACAACATCAAGTTTTAGTACAATATCAGCAGCAATAATTGAGTTACCACCATTTGCGGGTATACGAATGTCAATTACCTGCAACTAAAATCTTGAGCTGGGGTGACTCCAAAATTTAATCAGTTTTACATACAATTGATACTTTCTGCAAGTTTCACTAAAATGTGTCAAGTAATTCATGAGCTATGTAAGCACAAAAGAAAGAAACTGACACCCATGCACCCCCCCCACCCACCCACACACACACACACACACACACACACACACACACACACACACGCACACACACACAGGTTTGTTTTTCTATCTTTGTGGGGCCTTTGCATTGACTTCCATTCATTTTTCATTCATTTCTATAGCCTAACCATGACCTTTATCCATAACCTAACCATTACCAGTACATACCTAACCCTAAACCTAACACATCCTCAATTCACACCTTAGTCCTAAACCTAGCCCCTAGCCCACCAACGGGACTTCTTCTTATGGGGCCCGGGCTTTGGGCCCCATAAGGAGCAGTTGGTCCCCACAATGTAGTATAAGTTGGAAAAATGGGCCTCACAAACTAGCATAAACAAGGACACACACACACACACACACATACATACACACACATACAAACACAAGACAGTCTTTCTATCTTTACAGGGACTTTGCCTTGACCTCCATTAATTTATCATTAATTTCATTAACTAACCCTGACCCTTACTCTAACCATTACTAGTACATACCTAAGCTTAAACCTAACCCCTAGCCCACCAACTAAACCCAGTAAATGTATCTTCTCATGGGGCTGGGGCTTTTAGGCCCTATAAATGGTCTAATTTTACTGGTCTACTGCTATAAGGAGCAGTTGGTCCTCACAACACAGTTTTTTTTCTCTCTTCTTCTTCTTCTTCTTTCGGCTGCTCCCTTCTTCAGGGGTTGCCACAGCGAACTAAGTCGCACAAAGACTTGGCAGTTATTTTTACGCTGGAAGCCCTTCCTGACGCAACCACAATCCACCGAGCTACCACAGCCCTCTGTGTGGAGCAGAGAGATGCTATCTAGGGCACCTGGAGGAGCAGATGGTGTGGGGTTAAGGGCCTTGCTCAAGGGCCCTGAGTGGGACGAATGAGGGTGGGGTCAGGTGTGGGTGCTTCACCTACCCCACCCACATTTTTGATGTTGTCGGTACCGGGGCTTGAACTGGCGATCTTCCGATCACAGGCCCACTTTCTCTAACCTCTGCGCCAACACTCCCACGGTTCTCACAACGCAGTATGTGCTGAAAAAAAAAAGCGACTTATAAGGTAACAAAAACAAAGACACACACACACACATACACACACACACACAAACAAAAACATTATTTCAGTTTTGCGTTCGGTAGCAGGCAATAACCAGAATTGAATCTATGACATCACCAGACTTCTACTAATGCTATGGTCTGAGTAAGGTTGAGAAAAGCTGCCAGTTGGAGCCATGAAGTTCACACTCAGACACATAGACTACTTTTCCCTCCTTTCTATTGGGCCATTCTGATGAAGTGTTTGGCAGGAGGTGTAAAATCCTGTGGATTGTGTGTGGTCCACAAAGTTCTGGTCTTTGGGAAATTTCACAGTAATCTGATGGTAATTTTTAAGGAATCTTCAGTGAGAATGTTTAAAAAGTACTCTCCCAAAAGTCAATATTTTAACAGTGCTGACCTGAGAGCTCATTGTGAAAGGTGATTATAGACAAGTTTGTTTTGTGTTCCAAGAAGAAAGGAATTTTACTGGTCTTTATTTTATTACCTCAGTGTGTGTGTGTGTGTGTGTGTGTGTGTGTGTGTGTGTGTGTGTGTGTGTGTGTGTGTGTGTGTGTGTGTGTGTGTGTGTGTGTGTGTGTGTGTGTGTGTACAATAGCTGATTATTGTTGTTTTACCAGTGCATTTGCTCCGCCAGTTAAACGGTCCTGCCAAACATCCAGATAACAATCCTTCATATCAATGTAGCCCCCATTTAATAATGGCCAACTCCTCCAACTGGTTTAACTGGAATCTCCAGCTGACGCAGGATCAAAGAGGTGACGGCCATTTTGTACTCAAACATGTAACCTGAGACATATTTAAATACTTTGAACACTACTTTAGAAACACTCACAGAACAAAAATAAACAATGTTAAGTGGAACTTTTGACAGATCTTTCAATAAATATTATTTTCTCATTCCAAAATTACTTTTATTTTGAAGACCTTACATTCCTTTTGACTTAATAAATTTGTATCTAACTAAAATTGTGAAGCAGCCATGATCACAACAAAGTTAACAATAAGTTTGTAGAAACATATACTATATATATATATATATATATATATATATATATATATATATATATAT